AAAATACTCTGTTGAGCTACTTCTGTGTCCCTGATCCCCAAATCATTTCAGAAAATCGTTCTCATCACCCCTCCGGTCCCGCCGTGCACCCCACCACAGCAAGGGGAAATGCCCCGAGGAGCGCCCAGAGTTTTTAAGAAGTTCACAGAATTCGTGAATTGTCCCTTGCTTCATTTTCCCCAGGCCGTTTTTTTGAAGTACCCTTCTATGAAGGCTTGCTAGATTGAGTCTAAGGAATTTCTCTCGTGTCACCTGATCCCGGATGGAAATTCACTGACTGACTGGGCTGCTGACTTAACCAGAAAGGCGGGGGACAATGGCCTCTGGCTGCGGCGTTTCGGGTGGAAGCCCGGGCAGAGTGGGCCATGTGCGTGTTCCGAACAGAGATCGCATTGTGACTCCCAGCACAAGTCCCACTTGTGTCTCACAAACATCCACGACCAATAGGGGGGCACTGGATCGAGGACAGGGATGGCCAAATGGGTCTCTTGGCTTCCCCCACTTTCCCGGAACACAAAGGGACTGGTGATGGCTTTGTTCTGGCCTCACATTCCTTTGAGAACCTATGCGGTCATTAAAAGGCAAAGAGAATTCCTGTCTGGACTCACTCCTGCTGAAGAAATCAAGCTTTCGTCCTCATCCCACGACAGGAGGGGGAAGCCATACTGAGACCCCACCAGATTTCCTCCCTCTAGTTGCTGATCATCACTGTCCCTCATTTATCTTTAGGAGCCGCCTCGGTGGCCAACAGTTGTGGTTAAACGGTCTTAAGAATCTTGGCTCTGATTTGGCAGCATCTTTCAACATTTAAAACACTGCTTTCCTATGAGCCAGCCATTCGCCTTTTTAGAATTGGTGTAACAGATAAACTGGGGGATGCAAGGAAATGACATATTTACAAAGATAATCTTGAAGGCAGGGCTTGTAAGATTCAAAGAATAAAAATAATTTACGTATCCAACAAAGAGTGCTTGATGGAAGAAATTACCGTATGTTTATACAACAGAATACTAGACTGGGCCCAGCACGGTAGCCTAGCAGCTAAAGTCCTCCTCTTGAATGTGCTGGGATCCCTTATGGGTGCCGGTTCGAGTCTCAGCTGCTCCACTTCCCATCCAGCTCCCTGCTTGTGGCCTGGGAGAGCAGTCGAGGAGGACGGCCCAAAGCCTTGGGAGCCTGCACTCACGTGGGAGACCCAGAAGAGGCTCCTGGCTTCTGGCTTTGGATTGGCTTAGCTCCAGTCATTGTGGCCACTTAGGGAATGAACCAGCAGATGGAAGATCTTTCTCAGTATCTCCTTCTCTCTGTAAATCTGACTTTCTAAAAAAAAAAAAAAGCACTAAAAAAAAAATTAGACCATCATTGCATGCAGCAAGCCTGTAAATATTGAAGTAAAGAAGGTGGAGAACAGAGCAGGTGTCTGCTGGCGGGAGGCACCGGGGATCTGTGAACTTGGGGAAAAGTACCCGTGCGGGAAGTGGGTGTCTCTTTGTACCTGAGAGATGGTGAGGAGATTGATTTTTCATCAACTCTTTTCCTCTTTCTTCCTTTCTTTTTATTCTTTTCTCCCTCTTTTTTTTTTTTTTTGTTTGGTTAAAGATAATACATCTTATACACTTATTTAGTTGAAAGGCAGAAACAGCAGGGAGAGAGAGAAGTCTTCCATCCTCTCATTCACTTTACAAATGGCCACAATGGCTGAGGCTGGTGGTGCAAAGCCAGGAACCTGATGTTTCTTCCAAGTCCCCAAATGGGTGCAGGGACCATCTTCTGCTGCTTTCCCAGGCACATTAGCAGGGAGCTGGATCAAAGAGGAGCAACCAGGACTAGAACTGGTGCCCACATGGAATGCTGGTCCTGGCTCCGCTTTTCTCCCCTTTTCTTCTTTCTTTTTCTTGATTTCAGTATCATTTGCTTTAAAACGCAGAGCAACAGAGAGGGAGGGACAGAAAGAGAGATCTTCCACGTTTTTCTTTACTCCACACAAGGTCACAACAGCCGGATCTATGCCAGGCCAAAGCCAGGAACTGCATCCTGATTGCCCAGATGGGTGGCAGGGGGGCACGAGAGCCATCCCCTGATTTCTTCTGAGTTACATTAGCAGGATCCTAGGCCGAAAGTAGAGCAGCTGGGATTTGAACCGGCGTTCTGCGATGGGATGTAGTACAGTAAGCAGTGGCTTAAGCTGTGCCACAAAGCAGGTTTCTGCTCTTTCTCTTCTTTCTGCCCTCTGAAGTGGGTGATATTTGCATGTTTTATCTTCCAAATTTAAATAATAACGAAGGAAGAGAATAAACATTTACTCCAACTTTGTCTTTAGTGTGGTGATGTACACCAGTTAGTATCCCATCCCCATGTCCATAGTATCAACAATGATGCTGGTAAGCATCACCTGGATGCCTTTCTCCAAGGGCCAGCTTGTGGTTGGGACTGTTGCAATGCTAACCTTCGGAGGAGACCTCAGAGCCTGGAGAGTTCAAATATCACCTCGAGGAAGGAAACCTCTGGAACACTCCCGGCAGCTACAGGCTACTTCGGAACACTGTTAGCAGCCACGAAGTGTCTTTTTAATAAAATAGCGATTAGAAGCCACTTCTTTGACTGAACTAAAGGCATCTCCTATTTTCCAACTCTTTCTCCAAGTTTTGACCTGTGAAGCAAGGAAAGATTAGCCAATTCTCTTTCCCGTATTTTGAAGCATTTGAAAACAATTACCATCTGTGTTTCTAAATTCACTTTCAGACTGAACTGCGCTGTGTCTTTTATGTTTCCCTCTTGAGAAGCACTTTGTCAAAGCTGTCACTATTTTGTTCTTGTTCCTCTAAACACTGTGATACTTGGCCTGAGTCTGCTTCAATCACGACACATAGAACGGAACATGAGACCCTGGCTCCTCTGACCTTCCCACACTGCATCCCAGAGGAATTACCATTATTATTATTATTATTATTTCCTTGAGACTTACTTCCACCAAGACTTCTTTTTTTTTTTTAAAGATTTATTTATTTTTACTGGAAAGGCAGATTTACAGAAAGGAGAAACAGAAAGATCTTCTGTCCACTGGTTCACTCCCCAAGTGTCTACAATGGCTGGAGTTGAGCCGATTTTCTGGGTCTCCCACGCAGGTGCAGGGTCTCAAGGCTTTGGGCCATCCTTGACTGCTTTCCCAGGCCACAAGCAGGGAGCTGGATGGGAAGTGGAGCAGCCGGGATTAGAACCGGCACCCGTGTGGGATCCTGGCATATTCAAGGCGAGGACTGTAGCCACTGAGCTACTGTGCCGGGGACCCCACCTAGATTTCTTTAAAAATTTAGTGTCCCTCCATAGTCCTCCTTGTATCTTTTTAAGGCTTGTTACTTACTTTTTGAAAGAATTAGAGAGGGAGAGACAAAAAAGTTTTTAATCTGCTTGTTCAGTTTCCAAATGGCCCCAGCAAAGGGGGTGGACCAGGAGTCAGGAGGTTTGTCTGGATCTCCCAAGCAGTGTGGCAGCCCAAGCACTTAGGCCATCCTCCACTGCTTACCAAGCAAATTAGTAGGGAGCTGGAAGTGGAGTAGCCATGAGTTGGAAAGGTAGTCACTAGATAGTGATGCTGAGGTTGCTGATTTACTCTGCTCTACCCACACAGTGCTGCCCCGTGTTCCCTTTGGTCACCTCCTCAGGCGTGTGGTTACCGATCGCTTACAGCAGCAGTGCCCTCTGAGCCTCCCACAGGTGTGGCAGAAACCCGGGAACTTGGGCCATCGTCTGCCGCCTCCCAGGTGTGTTAGGGAGCTGGATTAGAAGCGGAGAAAGGACTTGTTCCCTCTCATGTGGAATGCAAGATTCTCATAACCCACCTGACTCCCTGTATCTGCACATACCCTCCATCTTTAGCTACCGAGGTATCAAAATGTCAAGAGAAATCCAATGCCTTTAAATCATTTGAAGACATATATATATATTTTGTTGTTGTTGTTGTTGTTGTTGCTGACAAATGCTATAGCCATTCTACCACGGGTAAAAATTCAGGTGAGCCTCTGGGCTCTGTGAACCAAGCAGCTGCAAGAGCTGTTGGCTCACGTGAGCAGAACGGGAACCTGTGGCAAAGCCACTCCTCCTAGCTTATATGTACATGGTGCACTAGGTGTGCCAACCTGCATTTGATCAGAAAAAGGAACTACAAGGAGGAATTCAACCGAACAAAGGCTCAACAACTACTCACTGGCATGAATGTGTGTGTACCAAGTTCATTGCCTCAAGTGAAACTTCTTTTCTCACAGAATTGTTATTTTCACATGACTGTGGATATGCCGGAAAAGGTCCCTGTGGTCTGTATTTGAAATGTATAACCACTTCCCTCCGTCTTGCTGCAGTTGATACTAATTACTGCCACTATTTCCAGGGGAATGTACCCACTAAGGATGAATGAAAACACAAATTTTCAACACTGACACTCATTTATAGAAAACGGGTGTATGTATGCCCTTGTTGATTTTCCTCTTATCGCGTACCTGTACCCCCATTCACCTTCTGTAATAACGGTGTGCTGCAGGAGAAAGAGGCCGCGGCCCCCGGAGCTGCTCAGATGGGACAGGGTTTCCCTTCCAACTGTCTCAGGAACCCACCTGATGAGGCTTAGCTGCACTTTCAGGGATTAGCCTTGGTTGGGGACCAGATGCTCTGTCCTCGCCAAGTTCCTATGCTGGAGTTTTAACCCTCACTGTGATGGGATCAGAAGGGCCCTATGTGAAATCACTGGACTCGGGTGAAGTTGAGAGAGTGGAGTTATCGGGTCGAGATCAGGGTCCCCAAAAAGAGAGACGCAAAAAGCCTTGTTTCCAGTGGCCGGCTGGCTGTTGTGGTCATGTGGGGAGTGAGGCAGGGACTGGGAGATCGCTCTCCTCTCTCTTTCTGCATTTCAGATAATAAATCTTGAAAAGACACACACCATAGTCCTTTCGTTCTCTTCTTTTTACACATTTCCATTTCAACATAAAAGACACGTGAGCTTGTTCTCATGGGTAATAAGGTAACTTTATTGTCTGCAGTCTTTGCCACACCAGCCATTGTTAGCTTTTCCATGTGAAAGACATTAAGTTTTAAGACGGTAAAGTTAAAAAGAAACAGTAGGCAGTAGAAATAACGAAGACTGGGTTTCTTTTTTTTTTTTTTTTCTTGTCTTAAAGTAGAAAACAGAAGTGGCTGGGGGAAAACAGATATGAGAGAACTATTCTAGGTTGCTCAAACCACAGAAACAGCTTTAGGAACCAGAGGCGGCGGCGCTGGGCGAGCGTGGGCAAGAGAAGGGACAGGCAAGCGGTCTGGAAGGGTGGGATTTCCCATGGATGTTGGAGGTTATTTGCTCGGCACTAACAACCTTAGCATTTCCTTCTGGGTTGTTATGGTTCCTGGTTTCCTGGCTGTCTATAATTTTTATCATACAATATAATAAATGTTTTATTTAGCACAAAGTCCATTCGAAGTCGAGAGCTAGCTTCTAATTCTATGCAATACCTGCACAGTCACACCTCAGCCATGCAGCGAGTAAGAAGTAACTCCGAGACCTGGGTGGCGTTCAGTCCAAGCTTACTGCTTTGTTTAAAGCTATCCTGTCTCGGTTTCCTCATTGAGTAGATTCCTGGGGTGGGAGGCTGGGGAGGAGGAGGAAGGGGAAACGAGTACTGCTGTGGAAGTGGAATTCAGCTGGAGTGAGAGTTGGAGGCGCTCAAGGGCTCACAGAAAATTACAATCAGCTGATAACAGAACAGGTGCCCGAGGGCTGCCCTGCACCCCACAATGGGGCCCCCCCCACCCCCCAGCAAATGCTTCTGTGCAGAACCCCCTCTTGCAGAGTCCTGGAACCCTTCCCCAGCATCAGTTCTCTCCCTCAGGGCATTCAAGACAGCCACCTGTGCAACTTTAGACAAGGTGCTGGGTAAAGGAGGCAAAGTTCCTGCCAGTTGTGGGAGACGTGAGAATGGCATCCCGGGCACTGACAACCCTTGTGTGCTGAAAAGGAAATGAGACCTTAGCACAAGAGATGGAAGCCACCAGCCCACGACGTTAACCGGCAGGTGCCGTGGCAGCGTCAAAGCTTTTCATGCCTTCCAGCAAACCCACATGGAGGAACGTTAACTGCAGAGCAGGAAAGTCTGGCATCCTCACTGGGGCATTATTGCCTTGGTCTTGAGGTAAGTTGGCAGAGGTCACACCTGACAGGATCAAAGCCGGGGGAAAGGCTCCAGGAAGACATCCCCCAGAGGAACGGGAAGACTCGTGGAGGGATCCAGAAATCCCAAGTACAAAACTCTGAGATAGAAAGAAGGCTCACATTACGTCATGTGCATGATTCGATTTCAAAATTCCTAGTCCTGTTACATAATATTATCAAGATCATAACAGTAAAAAAATCAAATTACATTCATATGAAACTTTTATAAAAAGAAATCAAATGCATTGTTATGAAATTTTATAGTACAATTATTTGCCAGTGGATCTTTTCTTAGGTCACAGTATTTATAATTCCATTTACATCTGCGTAATTTTTTAAAATTAAGAAGCATGAAGGAAGTCAATAGAAATCTCAATGTTCCTTTAGCAAAACTCCCTTCGGTTTGCAGGCCAGTGCCACGTGGCGACGTCGGCTTGTCCTCCAGCTGGGGCCGGCGACCAGAGCTGGCCTGCTCAGGCAGCCTGCAGGCCTCGGCTCATTAGGAACGCTTTCTGGTTTGGCTCACGTTGCAGGAAATTCTGGAGCATGTCCATGCCGTCCAGAGATCCCCCAGGTCTCAGGATTAGGTTTCTGTATTTCATTCCAACCTAATAAAATAAAACATCATGCCTAATAACTCTCAGTTCATAGCAGTTTTCTAAATCCCCAGGTGCAGGAGACCAGGGGGCAGGGGTCCAGGCAGAAGGACGGCGTCCATTCTGGTAGCTAAGAGACGTGGAGCCCTCGGGTCTCTGCGCGCTGTGCTTTGCCATGGCCCTGTCTCTTTAGATGCTCGGCAGTGGCCCGACCACACAAACATGAGACAGCCAAACAGGCCCTGTGGCACAGCCCTGTCGTCACCGCATCCCAAACCCGACTCCCAGTGAATGACAAAAGTGTGTGTCCTAGAACAGCACCGCTGAGAAATGGCTCCCGCTGGTTTTAGGAGGGGGGTTTCATAAAAAAAAAAAAAAAGAAAAAAGGATTCATCACATATGGATGGGGAACAGAACAGACCCCAAGTGCAGACAAGAAATCTGTTCCCTTTTAAGTAAAATAAGGAGAAAGAAAAGCAAAATACATGAGCAAAGACAAGACCCTGGGTGGAGGGGTGGCCACCTCTGCCGGGCGGTTAGGAAGGCAGCCCTCTGGGGTGAAGAGCTGAGATCTGAAAATCTATCACAGAATTCGGTTCACATGAACACGCAAGCAGAGGAATTCAGAGAGCACTTGTTCGGTATCTGTTATTCAAAACTTCCCTTGTCGCGAAGACAATGCAGTGAAATGGAAACGCAAGTAAACAGAGCAAACACTTCACAGAATGCCACTCCAGTTTGCATCTATTATGTCACTCGATCAATAGGACAAGCATTTGGGGGGGGGCGGTACCTTTTGACTTACAAATAAGGTTCTATTTGGTGTAGTCATCAGGGATAAATCTAGTTAAATTGCTAAGGAAATAAAGTATGGAGGAAATCCATCAAGTTAATCAACTAACTCATGTTCTAACAGGAACACAAAACTAAAATCTTCTGGGGCTGGTGCTGTGGCATGGTGGGTAAGATTGCCATCTACATTATCAACATCTCCTGAGGGTGGCGATTTGTGTCCTGGCTGCTGTGGCTCTGACTTAGCCCTCTGCTAATACGCCTGGGAAAGCAGCAGACGGGTGCCTCCCCGCACCCACGTGGGAGACCTTGAGAAGGCCCTGCGGTGTCTGGCTTCAGCCTAGCCTGGCCCTGGCCACTGGGGCTATCCACACAGTGAATTAGAGGATGGGAGATCCTTCTCTTTCTGATTGCTGAAAATACATGAATAAAAATAAAAATGTTGGCGTTACTTTTGACCACAAGCAGAGATCAACTGTAATTTCATCATCTATAGGCTAGTATCTAACTGCATCCTAAGTAAGAGTAAATAATTGGGCCATGCACGATGGCCTGATTGGCTAATCTTTACAAATACTGGCATCCCATATGGGTGCCGGTTTGTGTCCCAGCTGCTCCTCTTCCAATCCAGCTGCCTGCATGTGGCCTGGGGAGGCAGGGCAGAATGGTCATTTGGGAAGTAAACCAGAAGATGGAAGATCTTTATGTCTCGCCTCTCTGTAAGCCTGCCTTTCCAACAGCAAATAAAGAAATCTAAAAAAAAAAGTACATGATCAGGGCTGGTGCACTGTCGTAACAGGCCAATCCTCTACTTTTGGGTACTGGCATCCCATATGGGCCCTGGTTCGTGTCCTGGTTGCTCCTCTTCTGATCCAACTGTGGCTGTTGCGGCCATGTGGGGAGTGAACCAACGGATGGAAGACCTCTCTGTCTCTCTTTATGTCTGTAACTCTAACTTTCCAGGTACAATAAATAAGTCTTAAAAAAAAAAAAAAGAGTAGATAATCCAAATTTCTTCTCATAACACTAGGGTTGCACTGTCTAATTCAATTATAACATGAGGCACACACATAACTGAACTTTTCTACTAACTACATTTTACAAAACGGAGGTGAGCGAGTGGCACAGTGGCATCCCAGAGGGATGGGCTTCGGTTGCAGTCCTGGCTCTACGTCCTACCCCAGCTGCCTGAGGATGCACAGCCTGGGGGCGGCAGATGCTCGGGTCCACGCACAGGACAGCCGGGCTGACTGCCTGACTTCCGGCTCCATCTCAGCCTACCTTTGGCTGATTTGGGAATTTGGGGACCCAGGGGGTTGCATATGTGCTCTCTCCCGGGCTCCTCTATCACTCAGGTCAATGAGAAAAAAATAAATAAATAAAAATTCTGAAATTAGAACAATAGATAAAAGTAATAAAATGTTGTTGAGATCATTGTGTCCACACGAATCAAAATTAAAAATGAGTCATACTGCTGTTGTACCTCCTTCAGATCCGGTGTTTTTCTCATGTACAGCAGGCGTGCCTTCCGTTCTTTGGTTCGACTAGCCTCATGTCAAGTGCTCAGCGCCACGTGTGGCCGCACGATGCAGAACTGCTGCTAGAGCGCAAGGCCCGTGGGCAGCAGCATCCCGGGGCTCCACTGGGACGGCACGGAGTAGCCCCCTTTTCCCCTGGAAACCTGGAACATTTTAGTCAATGGAAGGGGCCTGTAATCAGACACAGCCTCCCGGAAAGCCTCGGAGATGAGCCCGGGGACCTGGGCTGGGAGCAGTGGGGAATGTGTCATTTCCGGCAAGGTGTGTGTCACAGTGGTAACCTGGAATCTAAAGTGTGAGTTAGTGATGGCGACTCTGTTCTGTCTTTTCAAAGATCTATCTATTTATTTGAAAGCCAGCATTACAGAGAGAGAAAGAGCTACCTTCCAAATGCTGGTTCATTCCCCAGATGGTGGCAATGGCTGGGGTTGGGCGAGGCCAAAGCCAGGAAGTCAGCAGCTTCCTCTGGGACTCCCACATGGGTGCAGGGACTCAAGCACTTGAGCCTTCTTTTGCTTCCTTTCCCAGGCCATTAGCCAGAAGGTATCTGGAACATAAACTGGTACCTCTATGGGATGCCGCCATCTCCGGCAGCTGCCTCATACACTGTACCACAACACATAGCTCCAACTGATGGCTGTTCCCATCACAGGATTTCTTATTCCAAGAAGGTTTTGAATCCAACCACTATTTTGTTCCTTTTCCTTTCTTCCCTTGCCCAGTGTGTCCACGGGTGACCAGTGTTAAGTGAGTGGGTGGGGCGAGGCCAGATTGTGCTCTGTGGGAACAGCAATACAGGAAGGACTTGGGAAGCTGAGGAGTAAAATTTGTCTGCAAAAATATATATATATATATTTTAAACCTTTTATGGAAAACTTAAAAAATATGTGAGAGTACATCAAAAAGTTCATGGAAATGGAATTTAGAACGAACCTTATTTTGAACACAAAAACTTGAAATCTATGCATCAGAGGATCTTTGAAAAGTTAATGCAAAACGCATATTATGACAAATATTTGAAAATCAGAGTTCCAGAGAGAGAAGCAGTGAGAGAGAGAGTGATCTTTGGTTTGTTGGTTTGGTGCCTAAATGGCCAGACCGCACTGAAGCCAGGAGCCAGGAGCCTCACTGGATGCGAGTGGCAGGGATGCAGGGACCTGGGCCATTGTCTGCTGCCTCCTCCAATGGGCAGCTGGATCAAGGCACAAGGGTACCAGGCGTCCTGATCTGGGACACAAATGTCAGAAGCAGTAGCTTAATCCACTATGCTACAACACTCACCCCTCAAAATTATTTTATGTGAAAAAAATCCATTTATCTTTAGATTCCATTTGCTTATGAACACTAATAGAGACAACTGTATACTGTATGTGTACCTGTCACCCAACCTCAATAATATTAATCTGTGAAAATTTAAAAAATAAACCGATATATCTAATATTTTATTTGTATTCATTTTACAAAGAGGCAGATAGAAAGTGATTCTGTATCCACTGATTCACTCCCTAAATTCCCACCAGGGCCGGGGTAGGCCAGACCTAAGACAGGGGTCTGTTCTCGATTCAGGTCTGCCACCTGGGTGGCCGTCACCTGTTGCCCACCAGTGTGGGTCCCAGCGGAAGCTGGGCTAGAAGGAACCCAGTCACCCCAATCCAGGACGTGGGCACCCCAGGTGGCTTCTTCACTGTGTGCCAAATGCCCACACCTTACGTTTTATTTATTGACCTACTTACTTTAAAAGATTGATTGATCGATCTGATAGGTAGAGTTATACAGACAGAGAGAGGGGAGACAGCTTTCACCTGCTGGTTCATTCTCTGGTTGGCCAATAACGGCTGGAGGTAAGACAGCCAGAAGCCAGAAGCTTTTTCTGAGTTTCCCACATGGATGCAGGGGTCCAGGCACTTGGACCATGCTCAACTGCTCTACCGGGCACACTAGCAGGGAGCTGGACGGGAAGTGGAGCAGCTGGGACTCAAACCGAGCCCACGGGGGATGCTGAGTGCTGTGGCGGCATTCCCCATCACGCCACAGCACCAGTTTCCCCATCTCCCATTGAAGTAAAAAGATATTTCATTCCATTGATATTACAGGAACATTAACGAAAATCTAAATGGAGATTTAAAAAAATATATCACCCTCCCCCCAAATGCTGGCATCTGACAAAGAAGTCTCGTGTTGTGCAGAGGGGCGTAAGGGTAGGTCGTAGAACAGAGCAAGTGCTTGCGGGGTCCCAAACAGAGCAAGTGCTTGCAGGGTCCTGCACACCGCAAGGAGCTGGCGCCTGCCTCCTCGGAATGGCAGAGTCCTTTCAGAACAGGGCACTGTTTAGTCTCAATCTGTGGCTCAAGGCTTCCTCTGCTTATGGCTCCAAACAAGTTGATTCAATTTCCTGAATTACAGGGCAATGGCCTTTTAATAGTTTCATTTCCTTTGCAATGAAGTTTTGAGAAGACTTTGAAAGTCATTTTGGTAACAGGATCTTGCTTTTGTTAAAGTAAAAAAAAAAAAAAAAAAAAAGAAAGAAAGAAAGAAAGAAAACAACAAAGAGTTAAGTGAATTTTTGTGTTTTAGGCAGGTGCCCAGTTCTGTGGCTCAGCAGAGAGGGCGCGGGTGACACAAGCCATAGGGGCAAGGGGTCTCCGCCACAAGCTGTGTTGCGGCAAAGCGCCTTTATACTGT